GATGGGGGGATTGGGGCTAGGCAGGTGAATCTGGTTACTGAGGAGTTGGGGATCCAGGGCTGACGCTCACAGGAACGAGTAGGTGCCACCATTCTGGCTCCATCACAGAGGATGTGGGCAGCACTCCCAGCTCTGGGCGCAAACAGTTCAGCCTGCTGGGCCCTAGTGCTTGATCTGTGCAGACCAGGTCTTCTCTGTGGCATGTGGCTGCCCAACGGCAGAATAGCTCTTTTCTGTTCCAGGGGATCCTGAGGTGCCGGTGCTGTACGAGGTAGAGCGGACCCGCACAGGGAAAAGCTTTTCTGTTCGCTCCGTGAAGGCCATTCAGCATGGGAAGCCAATCTTCATCTGCCAGGCCTCCTTCCAGCTGGCCCAGGAGAGCCCTGTGCAGCACCAATTCACCATGCCTACGGTGCCACCCCCTGAGGAGCTGCTGACCCAAGAAGAGCTCATTCAGAAGTTCCTGGAGTGAGTGCAGAGGAAAGGGGCCACTGGGGACTCTTCTCTGCAGCTTGGGATTAGGGAGGTGCAGGGACAAAAGCAGATGGGGAAGGATTTGAGTGGCTATTTGAGGAGTTCTCAAATACTCTTGGGAGGGGAATAGAGAAATAGAACAGGGCAGGAGCTGTGCCGTTCCTGCTTTTCTGTGTGGCCCTGGATCCCTGAGCTGAAACTACTGCCAGCTAGACCCCTCCTAGGTCTTCTGCTGGATGCTTGGCATTAATGTCAGTGCTCTGTGTTGGTCTGAAGGGATCCTAACTTGGCAGAGAAATACAGAAAGCTTCTCAACAAGATTCAAGCCAAGGATGTGCCAATTGATATCAAACCTGTGCACCCGCCAGCTGTATTCTGCTCAGAGCCACAGGAGCCAAAGCACCTCTTCTGGGTGCGAGCACGAGGCTATATTGGTAGGTACTGCCACAGCGGTGGCCCAGCTCCCTCCCAAAGTGAATGCTCGGGCTCAGGCTCAGGCTCAAGCTCACAGTAACGCTGTGGGGCAAACTCATGACAGCGAGCTGAGAGGGTCACAATCCGCGGGCTCTCTGTGCCCCAGACATAGGAGGAAGCCTGGGGCTCTCAAAGCTGAAATACAGCTGTGGGTGCTGGGGCATGAAAAGGTGCCTGTTTGCCACGCTCAATCGCTGCAGGCTTTAGCCAAGGGGACATAGCAGGGGAACAGCTATGGAACAGCATCTCAGCCCTGCCCAGCTAATAGCTGCACTTCCCAGGAGAGCAGAGCTCTTAGGAGCTTCACCTCATGTCCAGATTTGTGCCACAACCACCTCATAAGCTGCTGCATGCTCAATGAGCCGTTCTGGTTGCTCTGCAGGAGAGTGCGACATGAAGGTGCACTGCTGCGTGGCTGCCTACATCTCTGACTATTCCTTTCTGGGCACGGCCTTGCTCCCCCACCGACAGTACGATGTCAAATTCATGGTGTCGCTTGACCATTCCATGTGGTTCCACGCTCCCTTCCGAGCCGACCACTGGATGCTCTATGAGTGCGAGAGCCCCTGGGCTGGTGAGTCCTCATCGCGTTCCCTGGGAACCCCGTGGGGCCGTCAAGGCCAGCTCTGCTCATCCAGGGAGGTGAAGGGCTGCAGCGTAACACATACTTGTTGCAGGTGCGTGCCGAGGACTCGTGCATGGACGACTGTGGCGCAGGGACGGGGTCCTGGCTGTTACCTGTGCGCAGGAAGGCGTCATCAGGGTGGGGCAAAAGCCCAACCAGAGCAAACTCTAGCTGAGGAAGCCGGCAGCAGCAGTTCTACCAAGCGCTGCTGTGTGAGGCAGCAGCCAGGCATGCTGAAAAGGCTGCGCTGGAAACGTGGACCAAGCCATGATCCTGGGCAGCAGCAGGGAGAAGCACTGAGCAGGCGTGGGCTGGATCCAGCGCAGCTGCAAGCGCCAGTGCATGGAGAACATTTGTGACTGACGTGGACCTGCACAGGCTGCGGTGGCATCAACTTTTATTGACTGTTAGCTGCACAGTGCATAGTCATACACTATCCTCAGCCACCCCTCAGCTACCTTAAATAAAGCCATCACGTGAACAGCTCAGCTCTGTCCTCTGGAGTTTGTCCTCAGCTCTGGAGTGATTGCGCTCAACTCCTTAGGGAACTTCCTCTTGGCTGGGGGAAGGGTGGGCAGTGCCCCTGCTACAGATTGGGTCACAGGAGGGGAAAGCGCTAGCAACACACACGTGGCTTCCCTTTCTCACTTCTCCTGCCCTCTTTGCGCCCTGACAGATTAGTTGCTGCTTCTGCTCTCCCCTCAGTCTCCTCCAAAGGGCTGGGTTTGAGAAAAGACCCAGCCCCTAATGGCAGACCCTGGCAGCAATGGGAAAGGGAACAAGTCAGTTCTCACCTCACAGTTTGGGAGGCTCAAAGACTTCTTGCTAATGAGTGCCACTGCGTGCAGTTTCTGTGCAATGCCTTAGGGGAAGCGAAGCTGAACAGATGCGGTAGGAGCCCATCCTTTTTCTTATCAAGACTTTATTAAATAAAGTCTTTTTTATTATGTAAGTTTTATTGGACGTTCCTGGCAAGAGCTCCAGACGTTGCCAGAAGTCAGCCTGTTCCTTTAATGCAGTGCCAGTATTTCCCAGCTACAATTCCTGTCTACTTCTAGACGCTCCCTTCTCAGGAGGAGCTGGCTCCCTGGCAGGGAGGCAGTGAGCATCCAGCACTAGGGATGAACTGTCTGACTTTAAAAGTGCATTTTCTAAAGAAGCAGCTGCCTGGTGAGGCTAGCCCCTGTCGCGGCCCCCACAAGTGGGTTCTGCCAATATCCTGCCTAAGCCTTACACGAACACAGCTCTGCCTCTGTGCCCTGTCCCGACCTGTGACTCCACCTTTGTCATGCCCAGCTATGCCTAGCCCCCCCCGTCTCCCCTGAGAGACTAGCTGTCCAGCCCCACCAGCCATGTGCTAACTCTTCCCGGTGA